ACCACACACACAGCCCCCCGCCCCCCCGCCTCCCCCGCCCCCAGCCACAGAGAGACTGGCGAAATGTTAGGAAGAACAACCTTCAGAACACAGCCAAACAGCCTGCAAACCCTGCAGCAATCATCTGAAGGAAATGCATATCTGGAAGGAAAATCCTAGAACAATGGTAACAAAATGAGTGTGGGGGTAAATATTCTTATGGAGTGGAACTCATAAAACCTGAGAGATTTCACATACCTCGAAAGTCCTATTAGGGTTGCTACAGGTTGGCATAGAATGCACACACATTTGAAGAAGAAACAGAGAGATGTGGCACTCTCTTTAACTCTTTTTCATAAGTGATTCATCATGGGCTATTAAGTTTATTTCAAACATGTTATTGTAATTTTAATTCTCCATTTTTCAATCTTATATACGGCTGGATAGCTCAGTGCTTGAGGTCTCTGGCTCCAGAGCCAGAGGTTGGGACCTCCATGACATGGGCTGGACTGGATGACCCCGAGAGTCCCAGTTCTGTAGCTTTAAGATGATGATGATGATTGCTTAGGTAAGTCTGTGACTAGCCAGCCACAAATAATCTAAACCAATCTACCATATAGTAGAGTGAGGAGGGGGGTAAAGCTAAGTCCTTGGAAATGGATCCACACGTAGAGAGTTGGGGTCTGGGGTAGGGGAGGACCCCTGAAATATTGGGGTGAGGTGCCCCCAGCCCAGTTGATGAGGCATCCTTGAGGCCACATACTGTATTTTTCCTATGTATAAGATTATACTTTTGTCTAAAATCTTTAGACTAAAAATTTAGGCTTGTCTTATACACAGAAGTAAGCTGAGGAGAGAACAAAAACAAGTGCAGGGGAAAGCAGGGATCAAAGCAATCCTGCAGCGCTTTGATACCTTTTCCCCTACACTGGCTAAGCCCCACTAAGATTTATTAATTTTGGGTTAGAAAAGTGGGGGGGGGCGTCTTATACATGGGGCGTCTTATACACAGGGCAAAAAAAGGTATATGTGAGCTGACTTGCCAACGGTCACTCGTGTCTGACCCATGATCGTGAGTAGGAATGGGAAGAATGAGTCAGACCAACCTTTATTCTACCTAATCAATTCCTGGATATTTTGCTGTTTTTTTCTGGGCAAAGCACGGTGCTTAGAAAACCTGAGAAAGAGTTGCCCTCAGTCACAAATGACTTGGTGGTGGTGGTGGTAGTGGTGATGATGATGAGAGGTGCCCCCCAAAAATGAAGGAAATGAAAGTGCTCTGGTCTTGCAAAAAGTTTTCAAGCTGCTGAATAATGAGAGAGTAGTTGCTAGGAATGCTTACCTGAGATGCAGTGGAATTTGCTTCTGAACAGACAGAGTGCAGTCACCAAACATTCATTTAAAAAAATGTGAACAAGAAAGAGAGAATTAGCATTCAAAGCGGCACTAACTGCTCCCACCACTTGATAGATCTCACACACATAGTGATCTAGGATATGTTGCTGATGCCTACAAGACACATTTGAACAAATATATGTCAATTTATAATACCCCTGCAGTTTCACGGCAAACCACTTTTTTCAAATGCTCGAAGCCACTTTCCGGAACCATCAGCTTTCTCCTGCAATCTAGATTTCCATGATAAAGGGAAAAGTTCTATGTCCCTTTTTATATGTATATAAAAGCCAGTATCATTTTGAGTCATCCCAGAGTTGATCTAGAAATATAGAATAGTTTCTATATAGTTAGGATAACTTTAATATTAGCCATTTTAGACCTCTCTGTTCTAAGCAAACTGTGTGTTCATAGTTCATTTCCGCAGTCTTTTCTTCTATAAAATCCTCTTTTTAATATATATATATTTTTCATTCCAGGCAGATGATCTTGAGCACAACACAGTGACCAGTTACCTAGAATATTACGTCGTTGTAGACAAAGGCATGGTAAATTGTGTCATTAACATTTTTCCTACAGACAAGTTTTAAGTTTGGTGTCCGCTTTCATGATCACAGAATGAGAGTTGAAAATCTAGGGTTAATAAGGTCCAGACACAAACCGGACTAGGCTGAATGATGAATGCTGTCTTAAGAGAAAATTATATTACTCAGTATCTGCTGCCTGTCCTTGAGCGGCAGACTGAGATTTTCAGTCATTTCTTTTGATAAACCCCTAGTTGCCCTGAGAGGGAGCAGCAGCAGTGCCCTTTACTCTTGGGTAACAGGCAGAGCTTCCAACACCTACAACCTCGGGTGGTGAAGGAAGATGCGTCGGCTCAGCTCCCAGACTTTTAAGGAGCAGACTCACGGACCTGAATTCCACTTGACTTCAACTTGACTTGTTGAAGTCAACAAGTCAAGTTGACTTCAACAAGTCAAGTTGAAGTCAAGTGGGTTCTTAACCTTTGTTACTTGGATGCTTTTGAACTGCAACTCCCAGAAACCCCAGTCAGTACAGCTGGTGGTGAAGGCTTCTGGGAGTTGCAGTCCAAAACTCCTGAGTAACCCAAGGTTAAGAACTAGTGAAGTGGAACACCCTTCCTTCAGCACCCTTGACTTCAGCAGCCTGTTTAATTGCTGGGAGAGAGAAAGGCAGTCTTTGAGAAAGGAACCCCCCCTCCCGCTTTAGCTCTACCCTGGTCCTTAGCCTGGAAGAAAACAGCTTCACTGAGCCAAGAGAGACCGGGGATGTTTCTGAAGAGAGATGGCCACCCTCGCCTCTCCCCCCATCCTGGCCTTGGCTTCTTCTTCCCTTCTGATGGAGAGGTGGGAGGCAGCCAGCCCTAAGGCTTGTTTCAGAGGACCAGTCCTTTATGGGGCCAGCCCACACGTTCTTACCCACCCATTTTCTCTGGGAGGTGCTGGTCTTGCGGCATCTCCCATCAAAGCTCTTCCTCTTCCTCCTGGCTCTTTCTTTGTTTCATGACCTGGCTCCAGGCTTCCCCGACCGTGGTCCTCTCTCGCACAACCACAGAGCGGCCCTCGCCAACCTGGGTCCATCAGATTCTACTCCCGGTCCTTGGCTAGAGTTGGCTCAACCAGCTTATGGCAAAGTCTTTCATGCCCTTGGAAACATCGGCTCTGCAACTTCGCCTGGGTTCCTTTGATGTCGTGACTTTTCTTTGCCTTGAAAACAAGCAACCTGTACTTGATACTTCATAGGCCCCGAAGGGTCCTGAGGCTGGACCGTCTCCTTGTGCCTTCTCAGCTAGCGCCTCCTCCTGCCAGCACCGCTTCCCATGTCATGCCAACGATGAGTTTCTTTCCACCGGATCGCCTTTCACTGCGCTCTCTCTCCTTTTACTGCAACCTCAAGGAATTGTCCTTAAGTCTGGAACCAGTCTGAAGGTCCAGGGCCTTATGACTGGTTCCAAGTCATAAGGCCCGGGCATTCACATTTCCTCTCAAAGGTTTTGCAGAGCAGGTGACCAAAAGCAAGACTTAGCATCGTTTGTAGGAAATGTCCACATTGCAACTTCATTGTCTGTGTCTGGTTTTGAGGGTTCAAATCTGGCGCAATGGCCTCACTCATTTTTTAAATCTTAGGCAGCTGCTTTTGGACCTGCCAAAGCAATTTGAAATCCTTGATCGGATGAATAGTCCTGAAAAGAAACAGAGAATTTCTTTGGTGACAGTTCGGTCTAGTGCAGAGAGAGAGAGGCCAATCCCAGTCCAGACATTTTGAACTGAGTGGTCTTTGTTTTATCTCTTCTCTCAGTTTGTTGCGCAGAAGAGCAATGAAACTCGCTTGATCTTGTTCATTCTTCTCATGATGTCAAATGTTCATGTGGTGAGTATATTTTATGAAACCTTCTGTGTAGCATGCGCTGTGAGGAGTTGTGCTAAAACGGCCACTAGAATACAATTTCAGTGTATCCCAGATTGAGGGCTAAAATGCCACTTTATGCAAAGAGGTCACCCCGGGTGGTTTTCGTCTCCATTAGAGAGACAAATAAATAAATAAATAGAAGTGGCTAGAGATAGAATCAATCAATCAATCAATCAATCAATCAATCAATCAATCAATCAATCAATCTATCTATCTATCTATCTATCTATCTATCTATCTATCTATCTATCTATCTATCTATCTATCTATCTACATTTAAAAGAACAGTTTTTTTTAAACAAAAAGCATAAAATTTAAACATAAGATGGGAAAGTCTTTCAATTTTGCTTTCTCCTGCATTTGACTTTCTAAAAACATCAGGTTCTTTCCATCACAAATATACAAGATGGAAAGCAGACTTCATAAATCTTAGCACATTCTGAAAATTCTCCCAAACCAAACCAAATGTTTGTTTGTTTGTTTGTTTGTTTGTTTGTTTGTTTGTTTGTTTGTTTGTTTATTTATTTATTTATTTATTTGATTTCTATCCCACCCATCTAGACCAAAGGTCTACTCTACTATCAAAAAGTCCACCCCACTGCACAGCCCGGATCCATAGGCACATCCATTCCTAGCAGGGAGAGAGAGCCATGGAATGAACCTCTTTCTGTAACCCATGACCTGGTGGGTGGGTGTGAGCGCTCCAGTGGTGGAGGCGTTCAAGAGAAAAGTGGGCAGCCATTTGCCAGGTCTGCTTTGATGTGGGCCACTGCCCTTGAGCAGGAAGGTGGTGGACCCGATGGCCTTGTCGGCCCCTTCCAACTCCATCCTTCTAGGATTCCAGGAAGCGACGGGTTCCGCTGAGATGACATTCCAGCGCCGAGGGCTCTGTTGATGGGCCCAAAGACAGAGTAGGCTGAGCCAAAGAGAAAGAGGCAGGACCAGACTGAATGCCTATCCGTTTGGCCACTTGCCTTCCTGCTGGCCATACAATACACAGCCCAATTCCACGGGTATCTAATCAGAGGCAAGTCTCGGTGCTGTTCCAGCTGTGCATGGCATGGACCAGAAACAGGAGCACATGTACAATAAAATGGGAAGTGCCTTTAAACCCCTGCTCTTGCCTTCCCTCCGTGGTCGGGGCTTCCTTGCCAAAGGGCCCAAGAGAGTCCTGTGTAGAGAAACAAACCACCAGGTTATCTCTGGTTTCTGATGGGCAACAAGAACCGGGATTTCCCTGCGAGACCATGAAGGGGTTGGAAAGGGGCGAAGAAGTCTGCAGAAGAAGCTTGCAGGCTGGAAGGCCCCAAGTCATACACACACACACACCCAGTCCAAAAGAATGCGGGCAGGGCCCTTAAAGTCTGCAGAAGAAGCTTGTAGGCTGGAAGGCCCCAAGTCACACACACACACACACACACACACAGTCCAAAAGAATGCGGGCAGGGCCCTTAGGGTTGCCCGCGCATGGCCCTACAGCTGTGGTTAAATCTGGGTACTGGGAAGAAGGCGCAGGCGGTCCAGAAGGCTGTGAAGGTTTTAGTTGCCCTCATCCCCACTTCAATGCAAGTGGGGGTGGAAGTGCTGGTCCTCATAGCCAGGAACCCGTGGCCATTCCCTTGTTCCTCCAGATATTAAAGCTATACAGGGAGCTATCAAGGGAGAGAATGGGGGGTGGGTCAAAACGGGGGGGACTTTTCGCTCCATTCTGTGTCCTGCAAGCCATCATTCTATGTTTCCTCTTCTCAGATCTACCTGCCCTTAGACCTCCACGTCTATCTGGTAGGCCTGGAGCTGTGGACCGAGCGAGACCACATCACTGTCAGCACGAAGAGCCTGGGCGTAACTTTGCAAGCCTTTTACAAATACGTCCGTGACGATCTTCGGCACCGTGCCCATTTTGATCACGCTGGCATCCTGACGTAAGACTCCCTGTTTCCCTCTTTTGAACGAAATGTCGTTCTTCCCCATCTCCCTCTTGTTACCATTTCTCCTTAAGGAGTTGCAACCTGGCAGGCTGAGCGCCTGGGAGTATCCGAGGGGGCTTCTGTCCTTTCGGCCCCTTGTTCTCTTCATCCACGTGGGCTGACCCATATCTGCCGGAACCACGGAGGAGCCCGGTGGGGGCATTGCCTTTCCTCTGGCAGGAGGCCTGCTGAGTTTGGGGTCCAACACGAAAGAAAGGGGTCTCCAAACGTGTTGGCCTTCCCAGCCAGCAGGAAACATACATGTTTTCTTAGAGGACTCCTAGGGTCATCTACTGATTCTCTTTCAAGCTGCCTCCTTGGCAGTCCAGCCATGATCCCTCTGCACCACCCTCCTGTTTCCAGCAGCCGTCGGCCAGATGCCTCTGGGCACCAACTGACAAAAGAAAGAGGGGAACAGCTGTCCTGACACTGGGCAAGACCCCCACGTTCGCTCTGCAGCGTTCCCCTCTTCCTTCCTCATGCCACCTTCTGCAGAAAGGGGAAAGGAGAGGATAGAAAAAAGCAAGACACACTATTTTTAATAATAATAATAATAATAATAATAATAATAATAAGAAGAAGAAGAAGAAGAAGAACAACAGCAACAGCAACAGCAACAGCAACAACAACAACAACAACAACAATTATTATTATTATTATTATTATTATTATTATTATTATTATTATTATTATTATTATTATTATTATTATTATTATTATTATTATTATTATTATTTATTGAATTTATATCCCGCCTATCTGGACTATTAGTCCACTCTTATTATTTAGTTTCCTCGTCTGTATGGTTCTGTCAAGGGGCAGAGCATTTTCCAAGACACCGGCGTGCCGTTCTGTATCTTTTAAACCTGACATAAGGAAGCAGAGGAAAGGGAGCAGGCTGAAAAAAGAGTAAGATCTCCGGAGGTCAAACTAGATGTTAAAGTATTTCGCCCCGTTGACCTGTCCTCCTTTATACAGCAGCGTTTCCTCGGAGACAAGTGGTTGGCCAATACAGGCTGTCCAGTTCATCTCATGTTTACCCTTTCCCCACCACCACCACCACTCATAAGACAAAGCAAGGCAACGCTTGGATGTGAAAACAAAATAGGAAAAAGAGAGAAATCAGGTGCTGTAGTAAAGGCCTTTTCACCACTTGAGGGAGCACCTCTTCCAAAAATGGGCTAAACTTACCCTGTCGCTTTATACAAATGCAAAAAATGGGCAACACCCTTTATTATTATTATTATTATTATTCGGCTTCCAATATAAAAGCAAACAATAAACACATACAATTATATAATAATACAACAACTACAATAAAATAAAGAATAGGAAAGAAGAGAAAGAAAATCAAGAATTGGCTGGAGGGAAGGCCTGAATGAACAACGATGGTTTTAATTGGGTTTTAAAGATGCCCAGCGTAGGGGCCACGCGAATCTCTGGAGGGAGATTGTTCCAGAGGTGAGGAGCCACCGCCGAGAAGGCCCGGTTTCGTGTCTTCTCCTTCCAGGCCTCTCTCGGCCTCCTCAGCCTCACCTCCTGACTCGCGCGGGTGATCCGGGTAGACCTTGGTGGGAGGAGGCATTCCGCCAAATATCGAGGTCCTAAACCGTTTAGGGCCTTATAAGTAAGCATTAAAACTTTGAAATGGATGCGGAAACAGATGGGCAGCCAATGCAATGCAGCCAGCGTAGGAGAAATGTGATGGTATTTTCTTACTCCAGTAAGGAGTCTGGCCCCCGCATTCTGCACCACCTGAAGTTTCCGCGTCAGCCTCAAAGGCAGCCCCACGTGGAGCGCGTTACAGTGGTCTAATCTTGAGATTACGAGCGCATGCACCAAGGTAGTGAGCGGCCCCGTGTCGAGATAGGGACGCACCCTTATAGTCCAGTAAAAATTATCATACAGTACATGAGCTTTTGTGGATCAAACGCCAGTTCCTCTGGCTGGTACCAGGGTGATGATCTTCATCCTTAGCGGAGAGAGTAGCTTCCCCCCCCAAGAAAAGAAAGGGAGCCCCCAAGCCACAAAGACTAGGGGGCCCCATCCTCAGGACCTCCATCACGTCTGGGTTCGGCCTCAGTCTATTGTCCCTCATCCACCCCAGCACGGCGTCCAAGCAACGCTCCAGGGATGGAACAGCATCCTCTGCAGAAGGGTGGAAGGAGAGATCGTGCTGGGCATCATCCGCGAGTGGGTGACACAAAGCCAGGACAAAGCCCGACCACCGATCCCCAACCCCGAGAGCCTCCCCAGGAGGAGACCGTGGTCGATGGTATCAAAGGAACCTGAGAGGGCGAGGAGGAGCAGCGGGGATGTTTTGCCCCCGTCGGCCTCCCTCGAGAGGTCATCTTGCAGGGCGAGCCATGCTGTCTCTGTGGTGTGGCCAGAATGGCTCAAGGGCATCGGCCTCCTCCAGGAGAGCCTGTAGCTGATCTGCCGCCCCCACCCTCTCCCTGAGCTTGCTCAGCAAAAGGAACGTGGACAACAGTTGTTCATATCTCCACCACCAAGTTAGAGTTTTTTAAAAAAATATTAATGGGTCTAAGGAATGCCTCTCCTTAGTGGTGATGGAGGACGGTGTCTCGTTCCATCCTTCTTGGCCAGGAAGGTTCTACGTATCAGGTTTGTACAGTATCTCATGCCCCAGTTCTTCAAGCGAAGAAGCACTCTGTCCTTCACCTGCACGGACCTATCATTTTAGACCTCTACGTATCCTGCGGAAAAGGGAGTGTGGGGTCTGTGGTGGGTACTCGGGTGAAATGGAGCAGCTCCGTCCAGAAAAACCTGAAGGGTAGCCCCTCGGGTTAGCAAAACTGCTTTTCCTCCTGTTCCTCCTAGCCTTGGTCCTAGGCACTGGGATTCCCAACCTTGGGTCATTCGGATGTTCTTGAACTCTAACCCCCCAGGAGCCTTCGCCAATACCTGGGTTGGCCGGGGTTTCTGGGAGTCAGAGTCTAAGTGCCTCTGGGGACCCGTGTTTGAGAGCCACCATTCTAAAGCAAAGACTTGAGCACAGAGTAGGCGATAAGGGTCCTGGCAAGGGAGTGCATCTCCTCTGGAACCTGGCTGAGCCGGTGCCTCCTCTGACGGATTGGGGCTTCTAGCCCGGAGTCTCTGTGGCCCTGACAGAAGGAAGAGCAGGAGGGAAAATCCTTGAGCTCCCCCATGCAAGGAGGGGAGTAAAAGTCAAGGGCAGACTTTTTAAAAAGGATGCTCAACTTTGGGCAGTAGGATGTTCTGAGCCTTTTTCACCCCGCCTGTCCAGAAAGTCCTTTATAAATAAAATAACTTTTATCTCCACTAATGGCCAGAATGGGCTGTCTGTAGAGCCAAATTTGTGTACCAATTGTATATGATCCAGCTATTTGTCATGGCCTCAGGCCTACTCAGGTCTTGCAAGTGGGTTGCACACACCCTGGATGGGCAACAGACGACCACAGCCTTGCCTACAACCCCCCCAAAAAATGGCTCGTAGAGTTTCCTTTGTGTGCACGAGATTTCACAACACACTTCTGCCCAACCTTTTTGCTACCAAATGTTAACATGCAGCATCTTCTCTTCCGATACAGGGCTGAAGGGCATCCGTCTGGACTTGCCTGGGGAGACAGTTTGTGTCATTACACCCACGTTTCGGTGTCTGCTGTGCGTGTAGGTGATTACCCGTTTCTTTCTACCTATGTCAGGATTGTTAAGAATTCAGACCATTGGCAAGGGGGGGCGGCAGCTCTGTTAAATGAGTTTTTTGGGGAAATCCATCTAGCTACTGCCTCAAAGTGGGAACCAATCCAGGTTGGGGCTGCAGAACTGAGGATATGTCGTGTTCTCTCTTTCTGCCTGACAGCGCTTTCCGAGGGTGCTGCTGGTGGGTTCCCCCCATTTTTCGGATCAAAATTGCAGTCCCCCAAGGTGTTGGTCCTTCAAGAGTGACAATGTCTTCTTCTGAGGACAGAATAAGAGAGCAAAGAGGAATCACGAAAATATTTAAGGACCCTTGGTCCGTTGCAAGAGCTTATGGATCCACCGGCAGCCTCCTCGGACTGCGCTGGTGCTGAAAATCCGAAATGCATCCATGGCGGGAAAAACAGCTGGAAATCGTAATAGGGCTGTACTCTGGAAAAATCGAGCATGGTGGTCCAGGGACTGAATAACCTCTTAACCCATGAATGGTCTTTCCTGGGGAACCCTACAAAAATATATAGGCAGACCCCCCTTATCTGCGGGGGGGGGATTGGTTCCAAGCCTCCCTTAGCAGATGCTGAAAAATGCAGATAATAGCAAATGCAGTGAATGCTATGCTTAGCATGGCCTGCCCTCTAGTGGCCAGTCCTGGTAACCTCCTCTTTAGAAATATATATTTCTAGGATTTTTTCTTTTAATATTTTTAATATCTTCAGCCCATGGATCAGCGGATACTGGTCCCGTGGGTGAAGGGGTCCTAGTAGATATTGGCGAGCTTTATGCTCTTCAGCGTATCCTAATAACTGTCCTGTGATACAGATCCCTACTCTGGGCTGATATATTTAAAAAATCATAATTGAAGCATCATTTGTGTGCATGAGAGGCCCAGCTACAGCACGGTGTGTCTCTGCCTGCATACCTGAAAATAACGAATCCATTTAGAACTACCACGCAGACCAACTCCCTTCCACTGACATCCATGGCTGCCACCAGTGTCCTCTGAAAGTACTCTGAATCTCTTACATTCTGCTCTCCTCCATACCTCCTTTCCTTTGTCTGGTTGGGGGCAGGCATATCTGAATCCTAGATCCGATGCCGAAGTCGTTGCCCATCAGCTGGGCCATTCCCTTGGCTTCATGCATGACGACACCCCAGCAAATTTAGCCAGGGGCTGTGACTGTCACTGCGTCAGGCGCGGACACTGTCTGATGGTGGAAACCGGCACTGCGTGAGTACAGTTTCATTTTCTTCCACGTCCCCTTGGGTTTTGGAAGGGAAAGAGTGGGATCTGACCCCCCGTTTGCCTTCATGCAACAGCTCTTTCTCCTGCTCCCAACTGCTCTGTCTCCGTCTTCTTCCTTTTTCCATCAGAATTGCAACTGATCTGGCATATGGCCTTGATTAAAAAGTTGGATATAGCCAATAAATATAGCCCGTGCAGATTAAACAGAACAGAGGTTCTCATGCTTGCTGGTTCCTCTGTCCAGATGATGGTGTAGCGAAATCAGGTCTGGATCCATCATTGTCACTGGAAACTGGTGGTCTCTGTGGCATTAATGGGTGGAATGCCTTCTAACAGCTTTGACTGGTGCCCAGCTGTCATGCAGGCTGTATGGAGTTAGCTGGCATGAGGGTTTAGGAGTTGGTAACCTACTATGTTCAGTTACTTCAAGGTCTTTTGTGTGTTGGGTGTCTTTGAAGACTTTCTGGAAACTGAGGATGGAGCAGAATTTGGGAACCAACAGACTTTAGACAGGGCCTACGGCTTGTGAATGCAGAGAGGTCTGGTCATGCTCTTCTCGATCATCCGAGAGTGCAAGACACACAACCCTGGGCTCAAGTTACAGGAAGCCAGATTTTGGCTGAATATCAGGAAAAACTTCTCAACTGTTAGAGCAGTACGACAATGGAACCCATTACCTTGGGAGGCACTGAGCGCTCCACGCTGGAGGCATTCAAGAGAAAATTGGACAACCCTCTGTCAGATGTACTGATTTCCTGCCTTGAGCAGAGGGTTAGATTTGATGGACTTATTGGCCCCGTCCAATAAGTCTTAATTATTCTTCTATTCTATGATTCAGCTGTACATCATTTGCCAACCCGCATAATTCAGAGTGCTGGTCAAAAACTACAAAGTTCTCTGTGGCTTTTTTGGTCCAGTCTGTAGGGAGGTTCACATCCTCCCACATGAATCTACCCAGGCTCTGAAGGCTTCATAGAAACCATGCTTTTGTTCCCACCCATGTTAGATGGGAATGCGAAACGGGGCCTTCTTAGTGTTTGCTCTCTCTCTCTCTCTCTCTCTCTCTCTCTCTCTCTGTGGGAACCCTCCACATGGCCAGAAAAATCTGAGAAATCAGGATCCCCTTTGCGTAGAGAGACAACATCGCGCACTGGGGGTCCCTTCAGATGTAACTGTCTTTGGGTAAGAACTGGGATGGAGGAAAGGGCAGAGTTAGACCACGTGATTGTGGGCTAAGATGAACCCTCTTTTACATGGCCCCCCCAGATGGCTTTCTGTCCTGAAGGACATGATGTCAATGGTTATATTAAATATAATAATAATAATAAATATAACAACAACAATCACAACAATAGCATGACAGTGCATGATACTCTCCTGTGTTACAGAGAATGTGCAAGACTAAGTAACTGTAGCGCGAAGGTGTATTATGACATGATACGGCAGCCAGGAAAAGAATGTTTGCTCAATGTTCCCGCGAAAATATTTCAGAGGAAGGTGTGCGGAAATGGAATCGTGGAAGGGGATGAAGAGTGCGACTGAATCACAACAATAGCATGACAGTGCATGATACTCTCCTGTGTTACAGAGAATGTGCAAGACTAAGTAACTGTAGCGCGAAGGTGTATTATGACATGATACGGCAGCCAGGAAAAGAATGTTTGCTCAATGTTCCCGCGAAAATATTTCAGAGGAAGGTGTGCGGAAATGGAATCGTGGAAGGGGATGAAGAGTGCGACTGTGGCCTGGCCAGCCTGCAATCATCCTCATCCTCGTCTTAGAACGGCAGAGCTGGACAGGACCCCATGGATCAATGAGTCCAGTCTCTATCAGGGAGGCACTGTGGGGGAATCAAACTCCCCACCTTTGGTTCTGCAGCCAGAGACCTAAAGCACTACAGATGGGCACGAACCACTGTTTGGCAGTTCGTACAGTGGTGCCTCACTTAACAAGGATAATCCGTTCCAGCAAAATCGCTTTAGAATGAAATCCTTGTTAAGCAAAATAAAAAAGCCCATTGAAACACATTGAAAACCCTTCAATGCGTTCCAGTGGGCTGAAAACTCACTGCCCAGCGAAGATCCTCCATAGGGGTGGCCATTTTCTCTGCCTGTAAATCTGTCCTAGAAAACAGTGGGGGGCCATTTTGTACACCTGGTGGCAATTTTGAAACCCGACAATCAGCTGTTTTTAGATCGTCGTAATGCAGAAATCGGTTCCCGAAGGAGGGAACCGATTGTTGGGAAGCAAAAAAAGCCCATTTAAAACATTGTTTTGCAATCGCTTTTACAATCGCAAAAACTTAATCATCAAGCGATTTCCTTGTTAAGCGAGGCAATCGTTAAGCAAGGCACCACTGTATAGGTGTTTGCCGCTTCCAAGCCCCGCCTCCTCTGGCAGGTGCCCACTCAGAGGCAGCAGCCTGGCTTCCCTGCCGTGCCTCCTCTGAGCACTGCCCTTGAGTGGTCACCTGTCGGAGGAGGCAGGGATGTGAAACACTGAACGCCTGTTTGAGCGATAAATGAACCAACAGTTTGTGCCCATCTCTATAAAATACCAAGCTATCCAACCGTTCTATGCACACTCAATGCCGTTCTCAAAAAGATACGTGCAGAAATGCATATCTGAGGGGAAATGAGCAGAAAACACCAGTATTGACGAAACAGAATAGAAATCCATATTTTATTGCAGAATGTACAAAAAAAGTGGCTATTGGGTTGAAACACGGGAAACCTAAGTACATATCTTTGTGCATGTCGAAAAATGGCAGAAAGCGGAACAGGCGCAACACCAATGTGGGCTAGGCACAAACTGATCATACATACGCTGGTGCTCTGAAGGTCTTCTCTGAATGAGGCCACCAGAGCTTGGAGATGAATAGACACACCAAAGATGCCGAAGCGCCAACACTCAGCAGCTTTGTCTGTCTTTTGTCAGGGAAGAGAAGGGGAAGGAATCCTGAATTTATTCCTCCTGCCGGATACACGGCACTCAAGAACAGGTCAGCCTTTTAAGGTAAGTGGAGAACATGCTGTTGGAACTGCAGACGTCCTTCCTATCCTATCATGCCGTCTTTCTGTAGTCCTGGTGCACCGCGGAGGCTGGTCGGAGCTCTCCGAGGTGCTGAACCCTATTCTCAAAAGAGATTTGGTGCTTGAGAGAGCTCAGAGCCAGTCGTGTCCCTTGGGAGTCCCTTGTCCTACCCAGTGATGGAGAGCTGGGTTCAGCGTTAGCCCCACTGAACGCAAACCCAGTGAAATAAATAGGGCATCTGGTCAATACTAATCTTAACCCCATTGGTTCCAAGTTGTCTGCTGCTGAGGACAGGAGATTCTGGAGGTTGCTCATTCATAGGGTCACCACGTTCTGTACTAAGGGGTAATGAAAACACCGCCTGTGACCCACATTTTAAGCCATTTGATTCACCCGTCTGCCACGAGAGTTCTGCCCAAGTGTGCCAGCCCCAGGAAGGCCGCCTGGCCTTGTCTTGCTGCTGTTCAGGTTCCATGCCAACGAGGTGCATCAAGGAGATCAAGATTCTTGATCGACAAAAAAGGCAAAGCCGTCTCAGGAGGTGCCTTGAGCCAGGGGGCGAAGATCAGACTCCAAGTGTTGGACTCTTCCTGAGGATATGGCTGGCGTTTCTTCACACTCCTCTTCTGATGTCAACCAAGTGGCTTCCAAGCAGCAGTTGGCGCTGCCCCACTCATTCCTGGCACCCACCTGCCCCTCTTCAGAATGGGAGAGGGATGGATGGACAGTCAGATGAGCGCCACAGATTCAGTCCTCTTTCCCCCACTGCATCCTCGCCAGGAAGGCCAACGGCACCACAGTATATTTCCCAGTTGGCGGGGATTCTGCAGTGAAACCCTGTTTGGCTGTGTGGGATTTGGGAGGCTCGTTCCCTCGTTGGCACGGAGGTCCAGCCCTACAGAAGGTCGGCAGCCGTCTTCGGTCAAACCGAGAAGGGTCAGATAAGCTGTCGTCTTTGCAAACAGGGCTCTCAGAAAAGGCACAGGATTGGCAAGGTCACAGAAGATGCTCCAGCGCTGGCAGGATTCTCATGGAGAGGGTCTCGCAACCTGGGAGTCCCCTCTGGAAAAGCTCTGCTCTCCTGTCTGCTCTCTGCGTTTTGGAAGGAGGGTGATGTGCAGAGCCTCTGACGCCACTCAGGAAGCTTAAGGGCATCCAATATGTCAACTGGAATCTGTTCCATGACCAGAAGTGGAGAGTGGCAGCCAAGGGGCGGGCCAAGCCACCCATGCCATCATTAATAAGAACCAGAGTCAATTTCCAACGACAGCAACAACACAAACATAGCCCAAACTAGATGCTGTCAAAAGATATGCCCCCTGAGATCCATGCACCGAGGAAAGCACCGGAGCAGGAATTGCTTGCAGAAAATGTCCTACAAAGTATCTTCAACCCCAAATGTCAGGAAATAAATCTGAGGACATCTTTGTCTCCTTTGGCACAAAGATATCCTACCAGTACTGAGATCCTGCCCTTCTGTTGCCTCTCACGAACAAGTGTATTGAAATTCCATTTCTTAAATCCAGCTCCCAAGGGTTCGATTCTGGATTTCAGGGGAACAGAAGCTTCTTGGGCTCTTTTTCTCCTCCTTTCCAAGTTTTCTTCAGGAACTCCCCATTCCCTTGTTCTGGGGCACTTCTGGGACCATCGTACAGCTTGCCCAAGGCTACACAGGCTGGCTCTTCTCCCAGGAGATGCACCGGAGGGGGGGGGGAGGATCGAACTCGTGGTGGTTGCACAACAAAAAGCCGATGTAGAAAAATTCTAAGGATTGTGAGATGCTATAATTCTTTCCTTTTTCTACAGGAGCAAGATAAACGTGAGTTCAGCAGTTTGCTAAGAAATGATAAACCCCCAACGCTCAAAGGACCCGGTGTAAGTTATGAATTCAACTTAAAATATCTGTAATCTGTGACTGTAATCTTAAAATCCACATATTCCTGCAAAGGTCAGGCAAGAAACGAACTGACGGAGAGAAAAATAGAGATATCCCCCATTTTTAAGACTGTGTGTGTTTTGGGCCATCAGTTGCTTCTGGGTAACCCTGTAAATTAAAGGCATCCAAAAGCATCTTGTTATTAGCAGCCCTGTATTGGACCTCGAAGAGAAAAGCTGTGGCTTCCTCAATGGAGTTAATCCATCTTGTGTTAGATCCTCCTCTTTTGGTCCTGCCATCCATTTCTCCTTAACCCTCTCTTTTCCAGTGTGTCTCATCTGCTCGCGATATGTCCAAAGCAGAAGACCCTCTTTCCTTCTGGTGAAAACCTGGGGTTGATTTGATCTGGAATGTACTCATTTCTCTTTTGGGCCCCCTCTGGTATCCAGAAAGCCTCCCCGCCCCACCAGTACACACGCCCACATCTCAAAAGGAATGATTCTCTTGAAAAGATTGTCTCCTTTTTTTTCCTTGCAAGTCCAGTACCAGGTCAGGGAGCGCTGCAGAGAAAGCCGCCCCAGCAAGCCACCAGGGCCACCGGCTCAGATTTCTCTTTCCGAAAAACAATTCTGTTTAAATGTTATCGATTGTCAAGAAGGGTGGGACATCAGTGAGCTGGCAGGTCTCTTCATTTTCAGGAATGCAGAAGGAACGGCTGTTGTCAAGAGAACTGTAAATCCAAACCAGGCATTGACTGTCTTCACGGCCCCTGCTGTGAGAAATGCAAGGTGAGAAAAGCGCGGAAGGGTTTGGGCCAATGCAACCCCCCTCTCCCATTTCTCCCAGTCTCATTCACAGGCTGCCCAATGAGGGGTGTGGGAGGGAGGCCAACGGGACCCTGTCAACACGGGCAGCTCCATGGTGGTGCTTCCACCTATAGGCAGAGTCTCCCAACCATCATTTCCCCCTCTCCTTCCTCTGCATGTCGGGTGGGTAGAAGGGGTACTTGTCTCCTGCCTTGGGATTTGAATCCAATCAGTTAATTTTAAGGTCCCAAGATAGATGGAACTCAAACTAGTCTAACACTAGGTTGAAAGCCACTCCTGAGAGGACAGCCGGGCGGGCAGACTTTGGGTCTTTGGACCGGCCTTGGATACAGGAGTCTGGTCGCTCAGGTTCAGGATACAGTGAATATGTGCAATGCCTCTTTGGGCTTGACAATAGAATTCAAGACACGTCATCACAAAAAACCCTGTCCATTTACTGGGCTCCTGCAAAAAAGTGAAAAGAGCCAGGATTCTCAGGCAGCAGCATTAGTAAAAGTGGTTTATTCTGCACAAAACAAACGTATTTTGTTCCTGGAACCATCTTGGCTTCTTCTTGTTGTTTTTGCAAAGAAGCACTGAAATCTCAAAATGATGATGGATAGTGGTGATGGACCAAATCTCTCATAAGTTTGCCCACCAGAGGGGGGGAAAACTTTGGAAGGTTTCATTCCTATCTGTGAGAATGACGTACGGGAGGGGAAGATTTACGTCCCTAGTTCAGACTGAAGCTGCCGGTTCCAATCTTCCGAAGCTGCTTCTCCAAATTTTACAAGATTCAGATGCCTGAGAAATGTTAAAATCTTTGTGGGATATTGATTTGCAGAAATAGCACCTTGCTTTTATTAAGGATTTTGTAATAACTGGCTCGCTTGCAATACAATCCAGCTTTATTATAGATTTGCCTTATTGTTGTTGTTTAGTCGTTCAGTCATGTCCAACTCTTCGTGACCCCATGGACCAGAGCACGCCAGGCCCTCCTGTCTTCCACGGCCTCCCGGAGTTCGGTCAAAGTCATGTTGGTTGCTTCGATGATGCTGTCCAATTTTATTTTTTAAATTTATTTATTAGATTTTTACCCCGTCCCTCTAGACTATGTCTACTTGGGGCGGCTTACATCGATAAAAACACATCAATATAACATGTATAAAATCACAAAGAATACAATTATAACAATTAAATTCCAAACGAGATATTACCAGGATGGCATGACTTAAAAAGAGAGAGAATATATATATATATATAACTTGGCTGTTCAAGCAGGCCTTCCCTCCAGTCAATTAAGTGAAGCTCCAATCCTTTGGCCATCTCATGAGAAGAGAAGACTCATTGGAAAAGACCCTGATGTTGGGAAAGTGTGAAGGCAAGAGGAGAGAAGGGGACGACAGAGGACAGGATGGTTGAAAACACCCTCGCTGGGTGTTTTCAAAAGCCAGTTAAAAACTTGGGTGTTCAAGCAGGCCTTCCCTCCAAGTCAATTAAGTGATTTATATCAACCTCTCGTCCTCTGTCATCCCCTTCTCCTCTTGCCTTCACACTTTCCCAACATCAGGGTCTTTTCCAGGGAGTCTTCTCTTCGCATGAGATGGCCAAAGGACTGGAGCCTCAGCTTCAGGATCTGTCCTTCCAGTGAGCGCTCAGGGTTGATTTTCTTCAGAATGGATAGGTTTGTTCTCCTTGCAGTTCAGGGGACTCTCTCTCACTTCCATACATCGCTAATGGAAAAACTATATTTTTGGCTATGCGGACCTTTGTCGGCAAGGTGATGTCTCTGCTTTTTAAGATGCTGTCTAGGTTTGTCATCGCTTTCCTCCCAAGAAGCAGGCGTCTTTTAATTTTGTGGCTACTATCACGATCTGCAGTTATCATGGAGCCCAAGAAAATAAAACCTGTCACTGCTTCCATATCTTCCCCTTCTGTTTGCCAGGAGGTGAGGCCAGTGGCCATGATCGGACATGACTTAATAAGTAAACAACAACAAAACCATATGGTATATAAACTGGTACGCATGTTCACTTGGGCTGAAATGATTTCAATGTATGTCTAGCAATTAAAACAGGTTTGGGAAGATACACTGGAATTCACTCAATTTGTGTTCTACTTGAAGAGTACACTCTTTGTTGAATCTTTGACTTTATTATTATTTTAAATTAAGTGATACATCGCTAAGTCAATGGCGCCACCTGGTGTCCACAGTGATATTCAGCCTAAATCTGGTTTGCTGTCGCTTGAGCCCAATGTTTTGTGCCCTACATACACCCTGGGATGACTGAGAACAGATCCTGCCCCAATGTTTTGTACCCTACATACACTCTGGGATGACTGAGAACAGATCCTGCCTGCCCCTCCTCTGCCTGACTGACTGCTTTTCAAGGAGCTTAAAAGGTTCTTCCCAACAGTTTTTGGAAGAGGGAATGCCCCTCCTCTGTCAGACTGACTGCTTTTCAAGGAGCTTAAAAAGTTCTTCCCAACAGTTTTTGGAAGAGGGAAAGGTGTGCCGACAGGCTGCGACGGAGTGTGACCTCCCAGAGTACTGCAATGGGACGTCGGCCGAGTGTCCACCTGACCTCTATAAGCAAGACGGGATGCCCTGTGGCGAAGACAGCAGCTGCTTCCTGGGAAACTGCCTTGACCTCCAGCGACATTGCATCGCCCTTTTTGGACAAGGCAAGACGGGGAAATACTTTAAACGCTGCTCCCGGCACCGAGCCTAAAGGCACTGATCATTGGGAAAATGGCGGGCAAGGTCTGGGGAGGGGGGGTGCTTCACGCCGGTGTGGTCATCTTTCTCTTTGGAAATTCCTCAGGAGTTGTCAGCTCCCAAAGGTAGAGGTAAAGGTTCCCCTTGACAATTTGTCCAGTCGTGCCGACGCGAGGGTGCGGTGCTCATCCCTGTCTCCAAGCCATAGAGCCAGTGTTTGCCCGTAGATAGCTTCCGTGGTCACCTGGCCAACATGACTAGACATGGAAGGCCGTGACCTTCCCACTGTGGTGGTACCTATTTATCTACTCGCATTTTTACATGCTTTCAAGCTGTTAGGTTGGCAGGAGCTGAGACAAGCGACAAGAGCTCCCTCCGTTGCATGGGTTCGAGCTCACGACAGCTGGTCTTCTGACCTTGCAGCACAGAAGCTTCTGTGGTTTAACCCGCAGCACCACCACGTTCCTGTCAGCTCCCAAAACAGAAGCAGAAACTCCGTCACCTGTCCTTGGGGGTACTGAATTGTCACCCCAACCGCCTCTTAGCCAATGGCTCACAGATGTGGGGAACTGCTATTTGTTCCCTGCTCAATTCACCTGCAAAACGTAGATAAGAGGGAGCGACTTAGAAGCTGCCTCCATGGGCCATTTGGAGCGCTGCAAGAACAGGCTGGTATGTGCTCTTCAAGAAGGTGACCAGGCAATGCATTTGTTAGAGCCCACTAGCCCAGACCATGCCACCCACCCAGAGGGTTCCTACCGGCACCTCTCTGGCCCTTGCTGAGGGGGCCTAAGATTAGTCTCATTTCGCTTCCAGTGTGCGTGATCATTGGGAACGATCCAGTGTTGTGACGTGGCTCGTTCTTTATTAGGCATTCATGATGTGCTTTTATCTACCACCGGAGTTCGTATGGTGCACCGCTCAAAATGGTTAACAAGGAGGGTAAACGATACATCCTCCCCGCAATTCCCAACATCCTAATGACAGCCTAAGCAGATACACGAGAAAGTCAATAACAAGAAGCATAAATACCTAGACCCTTGATAATGGCATTAGGGGCGAAGTGAAACCGCACCCCACTAACACCTCAGGGAAGGGTGTCTCTGAATGATTTCTTGAACAGCTCTCAGTCTTCAGAGACGGAGCCTGAGGAAACCCCCGGGGAAGCCTGTTCCATAAGCAACTTATCAGCAACCCACTTCAGGGTATTGGCATATTAATCATTTCCCCATGTTCAGCACTGCATCAGTTATTTTAAAAAAATTAAAAATGCCTCCTCTTAAAGGGCCTTTTGAGAAACTGCTCACAGTCAAACCTACCACGGTGGTTTCAGCTGCAGGCAGTTTCTCAACTGTCCCTTTAAGAGAAGGGAAAGACAAGTGCTTTTTTTCCAAACTGATGTAGCACATGAGTGATAGCCTATATGCTATCCAACCCACCACCACCGCCATTTCACTGCCTCTGCTCTGCAAGCTACATCAGGACATTGGCAGATTAATCACTCCCCCTGCTCAGCACAGAGCAGAGGCAGTGATTAATTTGCCAATATCCTGAAGTGGATCGCTTATTAAGCCACTTCACTGTTTTTGGCAGGAGCCGTTTCCGTGTGAACTGTCAGGGTTGATTTGATCATTCTGATCATGCCTGACCACCTTGGAATTCAGTGCCCAGATGTTTCCGTACCATTTCAGATCTATAATGGAAATTGTTCCCAGTTTTGCGATTCCAATGGAGTCCCAGAGACAATTTGAACTTTATCGGGCTTTAGAAGATCTGGAGACTTGATCTGAAGGAACCCAGTCCCTCCCCCCCCTTGCCTTGCAGGCATCTGAATCACTTAAGGGGAAAGCACCTCCATTGCCCAAAATCTGGATTTAAAACAGCCAAACCCAAATGTAACAAAGCTAGTCTCTTCTTTTGATAGCGGAGTGAAAAACTGCAGAACTACTAACGAGACTCCTTGATAGACTCTGAGAGAAGCTTCGAGAACGTTCCTGCCTTAAACTTCAGCTTCCAGCATCCCCAGAGAGCATGATGGTAGTTGTAGTCCTCAAAAAAAAATTTCCCCAGTGGTGATCTTGCAATTTTCCTTCTCTTTTTTTAGATGCGCAGCCTGCGCCACTGAGTTGTTTCAAGGAGCGAAACATGCGAGGTGACCCCTTTGGCAATTGTGGCCGGAATGGAGAGAAGTACAGGAAATGCCATGAACGGTAGGCTGGGCTGGGTGAGAGATGTTTGGTTTCCTGGAAGACCCTTTGGTTTTCCCATGGGGTGGTGGAGTGGGGTGGTGGTGGAAGACAAGCTCTCGGGAAGAGCCACGATCCAGGCCTCCCTGCTGATCATCTGAGTAATCGTGGCCAAATGACAGGCTCTTGCGGCATCCAAAACACACATCAAAGAGGGGCTGCCTCTAGACAGCGGGTTGCCTGGCAACCGGGAAGGTGGGACGCTTCCTTCCTTTCCTTTCCTTTCCTTTCCTTTCCTTTCCTTTC